ATTACGTCACCAATAAATGTATCTTTTTATACCGATTCGTGTCCGGAAATGCGGTTCGCTGGGTGAAGTTTACTTCGAGAGCTTTTTGTTCAAAAAGTGAAGGGAAAATATGTTTAAAAATACGAATTTTACGTTTGTTATTTCGCCAACCCCTGTAAAAGATTTAAATTTAATTTCGTTTAAAATGTTTTCAATTAAATTAAAAGTGATTTTTAATGAGTTTTTTGACTGAATCGTACGTACTTTTTTGAATAAATCATGTGTCAAATTCGCATCATTGCAAACAAAGAGTTTAAAATTCATTTCGAAATAAGTACATGTACAGGTACTGTACGTCGGTACTCGAACAATTCGGTTTTGGACACAAAATTGGGGAAAAATTCGACGAAACCATCATCACCCGATAGAAGAAATTTTCTATATACTTTGTGTTAAACTTCACAACTTATAATTAAATCACGCCTATTTCTAACAGTAACGACGGCTGTTAAAAATATTCGAAAATTCTTCGTTGGACCCAAATTAATTTAATAGGCGTTTTTGCCTCTTACAAGTTAGTATTGTCTATGGATATTTTTTAGGATTTTTGTCACGATTTGCGCCTGCTAGGCTTGTAAGCTTCTTGTTAAATCTATGTTGAATCTTAGTTAAAATGCTTTTATGGGTGCGTGTTGAGGGTATGGAGCGGATTAATCTAATTTAAGTTATACCTTAAGGGAAAAATTCGTTGGCACTCCGACGGTTTTCCGGAGTACCCAGGTACCGCCGTCATTTCAAAATTTATTAAATAAATTTTATGATTTAATTTTTAAGTTATGAAATGACGATGGTACCTGGGTACTCCGACTTAGGCCTGACGTTATGAAAGCCTTATGTTGTACTGTACCTTCGTAACGTCAGACCTAAGCTATAGTTTATTTACTTAGGTGTAAATTTGACTCTAGTATCGGAAAAATTAGGACCGCGATGGCAACGATTTATGGGAGAAATTTCTTATTTTATATTGAAAAACTATCATTTTTAATATAAACAACGTAGAGTATCTTTAAACCCGTTTTACTTCACACGTAAAGTGCTATCTTATCGAGAAAATTAACTTTAACGAAGATACTTATCTTTCCTATTGGACAAATAACGAAGGTAATTTATTAGAAAACGAGGGTTTTAATCGTATTCCTGAAATCTAATGCTTGTATTCTACGATTTCCAAGAATAAAGTGATTTTCGACAATAAAGAGAGATGATTATCGAATTGTGGTCGTTCGGTATGGGAATCTTCTGTCGTGAGCCTAATAATACTATATAATTATCTGCTATTGTAATGCTACTGTTTAGATTACAATTTTATATTAAATTTATTACTTTTTCGATTAGTCGGGACGTTACCGAAGTGCATAATTGTTCCCCCGTAAATAAGAGCATTTTCAACATCAAAGCAGAAAGATCTACTGTTTAAAATGCCCGTTTCTAACGACATAAATTTACGATAATTTCTCTCGCTTGTAAGAGCATAAATTCGAATAAAATATCTCAATTTTAATAGCATAGATTTGAAAAATTGCCTGACAATTTTTTTTGTCATAAACTTTACTTTGCACAACATTAATCGGCATAATTTTTAACACTATTATGTGTTTAAATTCTGTTCATTTTTAATAATTTTGCCATAAACTTTATCAAAAATTACAGAAATACGAATCTTTGCCACGTTTGGCTTGTATTTATATTATTTTATGCCCGAAAGTTTATGTATTTTTCTCTACATACTGAATATTAATAAAGAATTTTATGGAAAAATGGCGTCGGTTTTTTGATTAAATTCTTTAAATATTTTATATTCTTTATATAAAAGTAATGGCGAAGTAGCGTATTAAATGAATAAGCTATTTGTATAGAACCCAAAGTTACTGCCGCGTTAACAAATGGACATTCGAGGCGATTCATCAGGATATACGTCAAAACTACTCATTTTATAAGCTGCAAAATGAGACAAAACGTATACGAAACCATCAGAAATTCTCGGTATAGGATTAGTCTGTTTGCAAAATTTATTAAAGAATAAATAAGGAGTCGTAATTTAATGTTAGTATCCGTTGTAAGAATATAACCACTCGAATATAAATTGGTTAATAGTAAACATCGATTTAAGTATCGATATTTTCCTAGTAAAAAGGGGGTAAGAATATCGCACGCGACTTTTTAATCCTTCAACTTCAATGTTACTGATACAAAGACTTGATTTATTACTATATTTGTAGATATGGATTATATTAATCGTGTATAAACTAGAGTATGATGCGTTTTAATATTTAATGATTTATTAAAATACTGACGAAAGTGGATGAGTTTATTTAAAAAAGTCGATAGCTGCGATAAATTACGTTTAAAAAATTTATAAGTGGATAAATTTAAAGGAAAATGTAACAGAAGTGAGATTGTTTTCGCGTTATAAGTGAATAAATACCTTAGTTGGGGATTGAACCCGCATCATCGAGTCTTTGAAATTGGATTAAGTTCTTCGATTGAAGGCTGAATTTAAATCATTGAAGAAGGTTCCTTCCCCATATTCATATTAGCTGAGGGTCGAACCGATATTATTCATACTGAGTTCGGTTCTATCTACCTATCACTCATATATGTGTGTTTTATGAGAAGGAATGGTGTGATAGAAGGAAGAGAAAGTACGCTTTACCTCCATCCTTTCATTTATACTTGAGAATTCCGTAAATTAAACAGTAAAAGTAATGTTTAAAAATCAAAAATAGGAAGAAAATATCGTCTAATAGATTTAAACGGGTTCATAAAGAAGAATATTAGAACATTACCCGAGAAGTTATGCTTAATTAAGAAAGTTATATTATACATTTGTAAATGGGAATAGAAGTTGTACAATAAAAGCACACGTAGAAGAAAAATTAGATCAAACTCCACGACTGAATTATGACTCCACGACGGGGTTCTTATCTAGAGTTCTCGAGTTTCTCCTTTCTCTAACTAAATGAGTTTGTTTTGTCCGTATTTAGGCTAATTCGTGCCCAATCTAAAAAAAAAATACGAAAACATTTTAAAAATTGTATCAATATTGCCTTTGAATCATCAATAGATTCTTCCATTATTAACTAATTTATTATAACAATATTTATTCGATATTTATTAACAGCACATCTGATATATATAAATAAGCTCTAATCTCTCTCGAATGTCTGTCATTATTGTTTATATGGACTAAAATTACGATGAGTCATTCGACAAAAACCACTAATGTTACTAAATAATCGGTCTGTGTTCAAATTGATACTACTGTTCTCAGACGTCGGTTTTTCGGGCCTTAGACAGAGGTCGCAATTTCAAATTTATACCACGGGCGTTCAAAAATTTCCCGGAAAATAAGAACAAAAAAACAAAAAACGAGAGTTATTTCAAACTGATATAACACCACGCATAAGTATCGTGTGGTCGTAAATATTTTGGGGCCCCACTAATAACTTTTTCCGGAGGCCTGGCAAAACCTGCGGCCGGACCCGATTATACATTTAACAAAGCATCGAAGATAACTTTTATGACGATTCATGCCACGTCTTTAACCGACGATACTAAAATAACGTGACTAAATTGGGCGTTTATCATCAACTAAAATGTCGAGAAATAGATTACGTTACATTTAAGTTATATAAGCCCTTAATTTAGTCTACGTGGGTATATACTTATGAAGTTAACCGTTACAACCCACTTCTAAATAGTAAGGTCATTCGGCAGTAAGAGATGCTTGGACAAGACCGAATTAACACTGGTTATGGCACCTAATCTATAACACGTAAGAAGCTCTACCCTCTCCAAGGGATAGGTAAATTTATGTGAGGCCCTAAAGTTTACGCGTTTAGCGTGAGGCTTTAAGATGTAGGTTTGTAACTTATATATAAATCCGACACTACGTAATTCGACAAAAAAGATGAGGATTTGTTTCTCATATTACACAAGAAACGCATCGAATAAATAATTTTTTAGCCCTTCGCTGTAATAGGGCCTACTCTAGAGGAAACTAATCATCTCGCAGACATGTTTTTCTGTACATTTAAAGCGTGCCGAATATCGATCCATAACACAAAATATTTCTATCTACATCTTCCGAACGTTACATACTCTTTATAATTTTTTTATCAGTCACGTTAACATAAATTATGCACGTATGTAAGCAACCGTAGTCATATATAAGTGCTCGGTTAATACACGTGTAGGCTTTCTCACGAACTACAACCCAACTTCTGCCCCCTAACTCTCTCGTAACGCCCCTACAGTGGAACGTTGCAATTACATCTATTCGTGGAAAGCCACCTTCCTGTACCGATTTCCACCGAATCTCATTCTCTATTATACGTATGCAGTTGGGGGCTTTTACTGAGAAAGCCTGCCTATCACGTGACTGAAAGTTTGGCTTTTTCTGTCGCAGAAGTACCTGTTACTATATTCTGTTTACATTCGTTGGCTGCGGGAGAATAATTCGCTTCCACTCTTATCTCTGTTTTTATACTCGATTGGGATCAAACTTTTCTTTTATGCGCGATATCCCCTTCCCACGACCTACCAAAATATAAGTTAAAAGCCTATTTTTGTCAGGCTCCGTCTATAGAAAGTTTGTCTATTTTTATGTGAAATTCTCATAATATTTTAGGAAACTTTAGGAATTTTTAATGAAAAATCTTTATTATTTTGATCTTAAGTCAACTAATTTCTATCATTTTACTTCAAATTTTTATTATACTTAATAAAATTTAACGCATTATATAAGATATATTTGCCGAATTAATTAATTAGCTCGTTAGCTTAAATTTATTTCTTTAATTTTCTTAATAAAAAACTTTTTTCTATAACTAAAATCAAGAGATTCTTAAAATTAGTGTTATAAAATTATAAAGTAAAATTAATTAATTTCGTTTTATTATAAATAATTATATGTATTTTTATTAGTAAATTTTAAAACAAATTTTATACTTTTTAAACAGTTTTCCGCCGGAAGAAATCACGAAATGCTTCATTTTAAAATATTTGGTATGAAATTCTCCATCACGTGGACTGGTTACGTCTTCATGACTACTTGAAGGGTCTGAAGCGAAATGTCCAACAATAATTCATTCCTATCAATATTCAAAAGGAGAGGAGTTAAAATACTTTTAAAAAATAAGAATATATTGAATCAAAGTTGAAGAAAAAATCCGTTAAACAGGGTATATTGTAATGTCTGCAATTTAAGCATCGAATGAATGAAGAATTTTAAAAAAGGGGAAAAAGTGTTTGTGTAGGCCTGTAGTTTATACACAAAAATAAATAAATAATATTAATAATTTTAAAAATTCCGGAAAAATCAATTGAAGGCCTGAGAATTCTGTAAAATTCTTCGGAAAAATGGCTGTAAATTATGCTATAATTGTTGTTATACATATTTTTTACCGATTTATTATTTAATCGCCTTATTGTGATTTTAAGTAACGTGTTACCTTTTATATTATATTTAAAAATAATTAAAAAATATAATAATACAAATTATATATATTAATCGTGCAATTTATTACGATATATATAAATTATATGTTTTATTTTTATTTATTTAAATTGATTAAATAAAAAAAAGAATTTCTCAGAAATACTTTGAATTATTTAATGTTTTTGTAATTTTTATTAATTTAATAAAGCAACTTTTTTAATGGAAAAGAAAAGTATAGTATGGCCAAGGCCGTCGAGAGGAGAGATTTGGAGATTTTTCCCCGGGCCTGGGGAAAACTTACTGGTTCCTAGTGGTTCCTGTCCCTAGAAATTAATATTCTTTTTTTACTAACAAAAAAAATTGTTTAAGACTGCTTTTTATTAAATAAACACGTTCTACTTTTTAAAAAAAATGGCCAAAGAGACCCACTATACCCTACCCCGTATAAGCCCTCGACGGCCCGAGGACGACTCAAAAGTCAGTTAACCGTTGTAAGATTTAAATTGTTGCCGCTTTGTTTTGTAATTAATTGTATCCAAATTGATACGTTAGAGAGGTTGCGGCCGACGTCTTCAACGCGAAGAAGTGTTCCTGTGAGCCTAAACGTTTGACAATGGCGTTTGGAACGTCGAGCATTCCACTGACGTTCCAAACGCCATTGACAAACTGTCCCCAGCGCAGTACAGTACTCGGGACAGCGGCTAACTGATTTTTGATAAAGCGCGGCTAACTGATTTTTGAGCCCATCCTTAGTCTTTAAATCTACGAGTATTTCTAAGCGGGCCTATAGAATCTGAGAAATAACATTATAATAATGTTTGAACATAAAATAGAAACGAATGCGGGTAACACGCTGTTGTTTGACATTAACACCAGAAGGCCAACTGTTTTATAGCCTTATGCGAAGAGGAAATTGTCCGTATCCTATTATTGTCCTATTATTACTCGATGGATTCTATATCGCACGTAACTTAACAATGCATCGAGCGATCGGACTTTTATCGGTTTTATTGTGTAGTAATACATAGGTAACATAGGTTGCCGCAGTGATAAAATTTCTGTTTTAACGTTAAAAACTTTATTTTTTAAATACAGAAACAGGTAAGTTAACAATAAATGCATTATATTATCTATAATATTTACCTGTATTTAATTAATAAATTGGTAAATTTTATCAAATAATCTAAGTGTAAATATTGATAATCTTTCCGTCTTTGTTCGTCTAAATTCGTGGAATTTCGGTCTGTTTCTTGGTTTTTTATTGACGTTTAGGCTACTATTACATATAAATGTAAACAAACAGGGAAAGGTATGCAAATGAGTTTAAACAATTATTATCTGTTTATTTTTCAGCGTGCGCCGTTTTATTAACAATTTATAAGAAAAAATTATTTAAATTATTAAAAATGTTTAATTTATATAAATTAAAATAAATACTTTTATAATTTAAGCATTTATTTGAACAATAAATTAATTCGTTTTTGTTTTTACAAAGTCAAAAAAATTAAAATTTATTATGTAAAATCGTATACAGAATTAAGTGAATTGAGCATAAATTCTTTTAAAAAAATAATAATATGAAATATAATTTAAAATCTCTTTTTAATTTAAATTCTCATAATTTTCTTAATAGTATTCTTCTTAAGTTTTATATTCATAAAATTAAAAAAATATGTATATATAGGAAAAGAAAAAATGAGACAAAATGAAGAGAAGAGTTTCTGAAATAGTCCCCTGTAAAATCTTCCTACGAAAAAGCCAACAACGAGTTGATTAACTTTCCCAGTAACAATTAAAACTGCGTGTGTCGCCATCTGTTACGACATTTTATTATTAAAAACTTTTTATACGCTTTTATTATTATAAAATGGAAAAAAAGCTTAATTTTGAGAATAGAAATGGTTTTTATAAAAAATGTAAATGCTAATAACGGGTAAAATCGTCATTAAGTCCCACCCCTCGACTTTTAACCACAAAATTTAATAGCATCGATCCGATACATAACCCCCTGCAAAATTTCAGAAATTTTTGACAAAACGCAGAGAAATTATTAAGCTACAAAGAGGGGAGCGTAATAATTTGCGTGAGCTTTTTGCATTTCAAACATTGTAAAATGCAAAAAAAAGAAAAAAAATGCATTTTACGATGTTTCGACGTCTTCGAGGTCAAAAATGTAAAAATCTTTGGGCGTCATTTTTTGACCGATTGTGATATTTTCTCTCTGTTATATATAGGCTATAACATAGCCGGGGAAAGTAAAAAAAGTGGCGGAGAAATTCAAAATTTTCTTAACCAATCGCCGTTGAGATCGCCATATCTTCGGCTAATCTTCGAGAATATGTATATTATATTTAAAACTTTTCTAATAAATTCTACGAAAGATCTTCTATAATTTTAATGTTAAAAAAATGAATAATAAAGACAATTAAGCGAAAAGAATACCTTTGTATTAGAATTTGTATCAGACAGGAGGGATATTATTTAACGGAAGCTTCTGAAAAATTTCCAAATAATTCAACTAAATTAATGAAATTTCTATCGATTTTAAAATAAATTTAACTTCGTTTTAATTTTTAGTATATAACATTGAACAAATCATTACGATTATTTACACAGGGATAGAAAGTAACGTTCGAAATTTAGCGATTTATATCTATTAGAAAAAAGACTATAAATCAACAGTTAGACCCGGACAGTGGCAAAGTTTGCTTAACTGATTTATGCAAAAATGTATGAAAACTTTAGAGGATTATACGCAAAGTTGCGGCTTTGTAAATAGAAATCGCTGGAAAACCATTCATTTTACTTCGTATTGAACTGTTCAATGTCTATTTTTGACAACCTTAACCGATAATTTATGTTTTTAGATATTTAAATCGGCGACAGTTAGACTCCTTCCAATCAAACGAGGATGACTAATATCGTTTTTTCGATATTTTTATTTGCTTAATTTCTTTAAAATTATTTTCTACGCAGAAATAATGATTTATTTAATTAATTATTTTGAATTTTCGACACATTTTGATAAAATTAAAGTTTAGCTCATTAAATGCTCTTATGAATTTTTTAAAATAATTTATTACATTTTAATTATTACAGTATAATATTTTTTTGTCCAAAGCCTAATTGTTTTATAATTATCAATTTACCTTTATTAAATTTTACCTATTGTGAAATTATATATTATTCGTACTAACTTCCCGAGAAACTGCCCGTTCGACGAAGCTAAAATTGCTTTCTTTTATAAGTCCCCAGACACACGGATGGACCGAGTAAATTTGCTTTAATGTGGCCAGACGAAAGATTCGATGTAAAAAAAAATCTGTAGAGTTAGTAGACGAGCCATTTTCGTGAATGCGGTGTTAAATTTGCATCGTATTACTACTATTTTTGGTTATTTAGTTTATTATTTTAATCTTACAGATTGCCACTTACTGCCACTTTTAATGTCTCGACTTACCACTTTCGTCCCCTTCTAGCGCCACAGTTTATCTTTTTCTTTCATTTTTAATGCCCCTTCCTATTAAATTTACGATTTTGATATTGCCCACGATTAGATATAATACTTTCCTACGGATAATTTAAAGAACTTATAGACCTTTTGATGATAATAACAATTTTCAAACGTAACCTACAGGAAATGCGACACACAAAATTTCCTATATAAACTAAACTTATTCGCGTTTAAAATTGCTTCAAACTAACACTAGATACATTAACACCTATTAAGGTTTTGCTCTACGGCTTCAATTTTTCAAATATAGAATATTTGTCATAATAATGTACCGTACAGTACTTTCATGCATCAGATTGGAAAGTTTCGTGACACCATTATCTAAGTCAAAAACTCGATTTCAAACGTTATCGATTCACGATGTTAAACACAACTAACTCCTTTTCAACAGTAAGTATTGTCGACTCGCAACGGAAATTTCGAACGGTATTTTGGACAAAAATTTATTGTTTGTCCATTGAAGAGATTGATCGAATACGTACGAATGTAAATACGTAAGCTATACGAGTTATCATTTTATTGTTACGCCGTAAAAATATATTTACGAATGCGTAACCCGAAATTGTCGTACTACGTTTTGAAAACTTCGATCGCAATATTACGTAATTGACACGACCAGAAACTTTCTTTATCCCGAAGAAAAAAATCTAGCAACGAGTTGCTTAACTTTCCCGGCGGCGCCATTCGTTATGATATTTCGTTTTAAAAACTGTTTATATTTTTAACTGTTATAAAATGACAAAAAGGTTCATTTTGAGGGTAGCGATGGTTTTATTTATTGTAAATGCTAATAACCAGTAAAATCGTCATTAAGTCCGACCCTACAGGAGATACATACGACCTCCATTATTTCTCCATTCCCTCGACCTTTAACTAGCAAAATTTAATAGCATCAATCCCGCTAATACACAAACTTCCAGGCAAAATTTTTAAAACTTTCGACAAAAATTACGGGAGTTATTTAGCTTCAAATAGGGTGAACAAAATCGTGCCCCCTCACATACACATCCATACACATAGAAATTACCCCTTTTTTGCATTTCTCGATATTTCAAGGTGTCCCGAGTCTAAAAATGTAAATTTTTGGGGTGGGTCATTTTCGA